GTAATATATTATTATGTATATGAACTATTTGATGTCTTTGAAACGGTTGATTGTGTGTAAAAAACCGGAAAGTAGAAACGAAAATAATATTATTTCTATGTAAAAATATTGTAAAAAGGTTAGTAGGAAGTTTAAATATATTATAATAAAAAATGTATTATTTTTAACACAATACAAGCGCAATCGATATTTTGCAGTGTTCAAAATACTACTTAAGTACCTATAATACTCAATGTAAAAGCAAAAAAAGGGCAAATTCTGGGGAACGACGGGACACTGTTGCAGGTGGGTATTTGGGAAGATGGGAAACATAAAATCATAAAGTTATTGGTGAGAAGCGTTTTGTCAAAAATCGTTGAGCATTTCTGAGTAGCTAATCCAAACAAATTTCAATTTTGCTATAAATTGTTCGAAAATTGCAAAAATTTTATCGTTTCCAAAAAGAGATAATATTAATAAACTGTTCAAATCCCAGAATTCTATAATTTTTTCTAACTGAATTGCAGCAAAAAACTGTTATTGTGTTATGAGTAGGCTCGTAAAATAATTTAATTGAAAATGTTTTTATTTTATTTATTCTTTTTCTGAAAAACTAAAACATTATGGAAATTAGAGCTTACTATAATATATTGTAGTAAAATAAATAATATTTATAATTAAAACTGTATACATAGACAATGTAAGTACATTTTTTACATAGTAAATATTTTGTAATAATTTTTTTAAAGGGGGAGAGAATGGATTTTTTTTTATCTAAAAACACATATTTTAAACCATACATTAAAATTTAAATTCTGAAAATAAACCAATTTATCTGTATGTCCAATTAATCGTGATAAGTTTTATTTTGGTGAAAAAAAAAAATATGTAAAAATAATACCTACATATTGTAAATACTAAGCGAGTCTAATACGTAAAACGACCATCTCAATAAAATTCGTTGGAGACAAACAATTTTGTAAACAAATATTTGTTTCAGTTAACGTGAATTTACAAAATACCGACGGTATAATAATTTGATAATACAATTTTTTTGGTTCTTCGATTATGTACTATATAGTCATAATATATTATAGTATAAACTTATCGGCCGATATATGTATTTCAGGGGAATTTTTTATAAAAAAAAAATATGTATACATATAAAAATCCCGGTCTATATTAACTATTTTTTAATTGTATCTAATGAGTAAATAAACTGTTGTAAAGAGGTTTTTTTTCTGTAATAAAAATTATTATTATCAAATTACAATAACTATTAAAAAACCTATTGAAATGAACAAACGTTTAAAATAATAATATTGTAAATCTAACAAATACTCGGGGATTAAATTTCAACGAGGGAAAAAAACGATACTCAATATAAGCGAATTACATCATAGAGATTTGAACGCGTTTAATTTAAAAAAGTACCGGCACAAACGATTTTATAGAACGTATATATTATACCATACTGCATATACATTCTTATAAAACGTTCCATTCTATACGTTTCAAAGGTTTATAAAATAAAAATGTATTAGGTATACGATGACCAAAAAACTTACAATCACTCGGTGATTGTTGATTGTTTTCTGTAAATTTTATTTCTATTTTTGTTAAAAAATATGTATAGGTTTACCAGGATATGGAGGCATTTTACTTTTTATATAACGGCATCACTATAAATATCGTATCCGGAAATGGTTATGGGAAAGCCGCAGAATTATTGAAATTCATTCGCGAAAGTATCGTCTGCGACCAATACTGTTACATTTTATCCGAAAAGTTTTGTGACAATATTTATAGCAGGGAAGTTCATTATTCCGAAAAGTGTTTCCCAAGACGGAAAAAAAATTGCACGAGTAATGTTGTTAAACAAATAGCTTATTCGCATAATATGTTTTATAGTTGATGCATATATTATATTACTTAACCGTTTTATTATTATTAAATTGGTCAGTAGTTTATCTTTAATTTCGAAAGTTGATTACACCTAAAAATTTATATTATTATTATTATTCGTTTAACGAGGTACGTCTAGCCTAGTTTTGTATTTTTTTTTCAAATTTTTTTTTTTTCGTTCAAGTGTCTTTGTACGTAGAAAAGTTTGTTGTTATATTTTTAAATTGGAGCGAAACTGTCGGTATAAAAAGTGTACACAGAAAAAAAAAAGACTATTATATTAATTTACTAAAACCTACATTTTGTACATTTTCCGTTTTTCCAATATTTTATCCCGGTTTTTCTCAGATATGAAAAAATCCACTTGTAAAATAAAAAAAAACAACTTCTCTAAATTACCATGGAGATAAAATTTCCTTTAGGAAAATAAGCTATACCAGATGAATCGGAGCAAGATTTTCGGTATAAAAGTCTTCACAACAAATCGAGGGGTATTTTACGATTAAAATAGCCCAAGCGTGCGATTGCTTGAGTCTCTAGGTACAGCCAAAATATAGCCAAAAACCTTGGTTTGAAGCTCGGGACCCCTAGGATGACAATATGCATATAATACTATTAAATCACGACAAATATACTTCAAGAAAGACAAATACAGAGTTATTTAATATAACATATAATATCCGCATGATATAAAAATTTCAAAATGCTATAATTTCGAGTCAGTCCGCTTAATTCTGATTTCACCATCGTTTTTAAATCGGCAATATACATATGTTACAAAAAAAAAAAAATTAGATTAGTTCCACATAATTTTTTCGTAAAAAATTTTGTAATCTGTAACTATTTGTATTTCAGTTTTCAGTTTTATATAAAAAAAAAAGACTACATTAAACTCAATTTTTTTTTTTTTTTTTAATAATGTAAGACTCTTCATGAACTTCCTGTTAAATTTTCAAGCATTCCTGTTAAGTCTAACAATTTTACCACGAGTACCTACCGAATAGAAATTACGTACATAACCCGCAAAATTAAAACATCTCTAATTATCTCAATAATGGTTTAAATTTTTTGAAAATTTGATCACGTCTAGAAAAAGGTAAATATAAGTTTTCTATCCAAATTTTAAGTTTCTACATATATTTTTAGCTGAATTACAACAAATAACAAAATTTATATTATAATTTTAGCATTGTTTTCGTACATTTCCAGTTTTTCTTATGTTTTATCCTGGTTTTTTCCAGATATTATGAAAATCGCTTGGAAAATCAAAAAATGAACTCCCAAAAGTACCATCTGGACAACATTCCCTTTCAGAAATGATGCCACGTGTATATATATCTGAGCAAGATTTACGGTCGAATTGTTTTACACAGTATAAAAAAAAAAAAAAAATAAACATTTTAGTAAAAGTAATACATTCTTCGCTACACTCATAATCTAAAACCATATAGCTTTATAAACGTGCATTAAAAGTTCGCCAAAAACTCTAAATCAGCTATCTCGGAACGAACTTGTTTGCAGTTTAGTTTCGAAATATACAAAACGGAGGTATCATATCGCTAGGCTCTATACGCAGTACCTACCTAATTTTTACACGGGAAAAAACCTTACCCCATTTTTAATACCGGAGAGAAAGCACAAAAGCCGTTGAATTTCGCTATCGGACGCCCGCGAAACGCCCTGTACACGTCGGGCGACTGTAAACGCGCTTGTACCTTACCCTACGCGTGTTACAGGTAAGTATATATGTAAGTACTCGAGAAATTATACACTGCAGTGGCCGTATACGACAATAATAATTACGAGGCGAACGTGAAACTGTTATTATTGTTATTATTATTATTATTATTATTGTTGTTGTGTTTGGCCCCAATATCGTTATAATAATAATAATAACAACGAGAAGAAGAATCCTTAATATTAATAATATATAGAAAACGCCATTAGGTGTCACTCGTAGCCAGGGCTTTTAGCTCGGCCGGTGTGAAACGACGACGACGGCGGCGGGACCCATCTGCAGCGTTGCTGCGGGTACACGGCGAGCGTATAGTTGAACGCCACACGCCGTTTCCGGGACATTAATAACTATTAGCGTTAAGTCTCGTTTCCACGAACGGGTTCTGTACCGATGTTTGAACGCCGCCGCCGTCCACACTCTACCGGCGGAAGTGCGCAGACCGCCCGTGGATCAATATATACATATATATATAGGTGTGTATAGATATTAAAATATAGCTGTACACTGTATACAGGTGAATTATAGAGAGGCCGCGGGCCGTGTTATACGTGTGCATAAATGTATACGTACGCGTAGCCGTCGGAGTCTGTGAAATTTGCAGGGTGACATTTTTTTTTTTTTTTTTTTTTTTTTNNNGGGGGGGGGGGGGGGGGGGGGGGGGGGGGGGGGGGAGGCGGAGACACCCGCGAACGGCTTAGAGAAAGAGAGGAGCCGAGTCGAGCCGAATAATAATAATAAGGGCGAAACATGGGCGTGCCGGTGAACGGACTAATCGCGGGAAAATATAAACATTTTTCACTCCACGATAAAATACAATACGACGTGCTAAAATAATAAATTAATTGATTGAAATTTGAAATCGGCCATCGATCGGTCAAATATATTTGATTACATATTATTGTTGTTACATATCTGCGGAACACAGAAATAACGATATTTTATACTCTTCCGTGATCACCAGATTTTGCTTGCTCTATAGTCTATTATGAGAACCCCGCGAAACCGCCGGTCGACTTTTATAGCTACTCCGTTATTATAATATATTTATGTCATTTTTGAGATGAACATTTTTTTTTTTTTTTTTCAATATAATCATTTTAAAAGACCGCTAAACCCGTAAAACGTTTTCAGTTATTATTCACACATCACTCAATAACTCCTTCGTACGTAACTCGCATAATACGCGTCAATTGCAGAAAACGAAAATTGTACGCGTTACAAAATCGGTTATCGCGGTTGTTACTATTAAGTTATAAGGTGGGTACCTTTATACCTTTTACCTTTATAAAAGATCTTTTATAATCACATTCAACGTAAAAGTTTTTACATTTATTATTATTATTTTTTTATGCTATTACTTGTACCTAATACCCACATTATACAAACCGAATTCCAATATATTTTTATAAACCTCGTGCAAAGTTTAATTTGTTGAAATTTTCAACTGCGCTGTCTCTCGTTTACTCCAGTGAGCATATACTAAATAATAAAAAAAATGCCGGACCTACATCGCACCATGGTTAGGCTACTGTTCAGCAAGCAAGATGTTTACCGTGACCTCCTGGATACCTTGGTAAACAATATACAATACAATTTATGCATGTAACGAAATAATGAAAAACTATTAAAAATAGATATTGAAAACGAACAAGTTGAAAGAAGGCGGCAACGTACCGTGCGTGTTCTTAACATAAATCTTAACTTAAAACTTATATAATACAAAATGTGTATTCGCATAAAAACACGAAATCGAAAAAAGGAATATTTTACGAATTGTTACACATTTATAAAAGGTAAATGTATAAGTATATTTCGTGAAAATTGTGCGTCTCTGTAATTATGTTTGACCTAACAACAACAATAAATAAAACCAAAAATAACAATAACCGTTTTTCTTGAGTTTTTTCTTCAAATTCTTCCGTTGTTGCGAAAACCGAAAGGAAAATCCAAAAATGAAATTTTTGTCGCACAATAACTAAACACGATTTTCTTTCAGGAACGATTCTACACGTGGAAATCGGATCGAGATATTTGGCAGAAAAGTCGGTACAGATACACCGGAAAAATGCACATATTATATCGTAGCAAAGCCGATACACAACTCGCTGTACTCGGAATCTAAAATGTTCGAACGTTATCGATAATATAAGTACTAATAATGATAATCGACGTCGTGTGACGTTCACATCCGCATTACGGTGAACCCATCTGTTTCGGCAAGCGACACCACGCCGCCGGTAGGTACCTATAAACATTAATTATCGTTAAGCCGTTGCTGAGGACGGATCGTTTAAATAATTTATGATTTAATCGAGACCGAACAGGGGCGGATTTCCAGGACGACGAACAACGGAGAAAATAATACCGCCAATACGGTTTGGTAAAAAATCGTTTCTCGCGGACGCATTCGAAAAATTTTCCCAGAAGAAATTGTCCGCGGGACGAAGGTTATAATCTGGAAACGGGGGCGCGTTTCGTTTTCTATATTACAAAGGCGCGCGTTAGAACGGCAGTAATAAAGAGACACGCGAAGGTTTCAAAAATGAAATTTGTGGTCTACGATAATTCCAATCAATATGAACGATCGCACGTCGTTTAAAAGCACACTGAAAAAACATGTAATATGTAATAATTTATTCTTCTATGAAAGTGCTGACAAAAAAAAAAAAGAAAAAAACGACGTGTGACGAAAACGTGTTTTCTTCTCTTGAACATTTTTGTAGTTGGGTCGATTGGGATTTAGGCCGACGGGGTACTTTTATTTTTGCCACTTTATACAATATTGTCCTACTGTTACATAAATAATAACATTATCCGTAAAGGATATATGTATATATATTGATAAGGATATATATATATATATATTGATAAGGTCTTCAGGGTCATTGTAGCGTGTACTATGTATTGGTGTGTTTTTATTTACGCGATGTTACTGTGTAGGTAAATAATATATTGGTATTCTTATCGTGTAGTTTGACATTGTTTCGCGAGATGAATCTACTCGCAAACATTCGTCATAATAATGTAATTGTGTAATCAGACCGAATGATTCTCTCCTGCCCCCTTCCTCCGTAATTCCCCCGTTGCGTGATTTTAGTTCAAAAAAAAAAAAGCAGTATAAAATTTGTTTTTTTTAAAAAAGGGACACCCCCGTGATGAATAACGGTGATAAAAAATGTATATACGATATATTAATTTTCGTCGACTATGACGTATAGTGGTTGAAGTAATAAATAAACAAAAGTTTTGACGAGTTTTTCTTTAATCGAAAAAAGCAGCCGTATTTCTCAAATTGTACACCGAAATAAATCAAAAAAATCTAATTAGAACCAAGCGCTTCTAAGGTTTCAGAAACCAAATTTGTAATCAGTGTTAAAACAAATCTCTTATTTAGGGGTCGAGGTGGTGTTTTTCTTGACATACACTTTTCTGAGGTACCAGTTTATCAGTATCCGAATTGTATACCATTTTTTTTTTTTTCATTTCTCTCTTTAAACAGGGCTGTTGAGTTAAAAGTTGACATCAAAACTTAATTATTTCTAAGTTTTATTTTTACACCGAAAATGGCCTGCATGTTGTTCGCATTTGGTCGTTTGATCGGGACGGTTCCATACAAATCCATAGGCTATTATTTGTTTCCATAAAACTGTGAATATCTTTCCCGATATTTATAATTAACGGCACAATGGTACGTGAAAATAAAATCACAGAAATGTGAAATTCTTGTGTTTATACATGATGATGACACACTGTAGATAACGATGGGGCAACTTTAGGCAGCTGGAATTAACGCAAAACCAATGCACTGAGTATGCAATTATTTCTATTTGGTTTATTATAATATATAGAAGAGAAGAGTAGAGAATAAACATATCAAATGTGTCCTAGTAAATCGTCGACACGACTCATATACTAATACTGTTAGTAACTTCATAATGGCACATGTTTAAGCGAGAGGATGTTATGCGTTTCCCCTTTTTCACTGTTATTCATACGCACGGGATATAAGGCTTAATTAAAAGGTAGGCTGTAGTTGATTTGTCATTTTAAAATGAAACTATTGTCGTTATTTTTTAACGTTGACTGAGTACATTTTATATATTCGGAATGATTACAAAAACGCGCAACATAACAATCCATTTTATTTCACATTGGTTATGAATATTTGACAAAAAGATTTTGTTGTTATGATATTATCGTAATGACTGAGTTATTTACGTTTTAATAATCGTAAATAATGATTTACTAATAATTACGATTTATAAAAAATCGAGATTCTAAACGAACATTTCTATTTTGTGATGTTTTTTTTTTTTTTTTTTTGAAATTACATATTCGCCTGATATATTTTATATAAAATTATATTATAAAATTCTATGCAACAATAAAACAAATTATTTCGTCTATTTTCGATGTTTTTTATGCTGTACACGCACGCTACGCTTATGATATAGAGTTTAAGAGTTACACGTTTAATGGAAAAAAGAAAAATAATATTTGTGGCGCCTGCCCTAACCTGCATCTTATTCAGTCTATTGATTAGTCAAGCATTGACGACATAACAAATTGTGAATTGTCCTATTATCAAACTAAAATATAAGAATATTATCTGTGCACTCACTTCGGTTTATTTCTCGATATTTTTTTTAAAGTGAGATAAAAACATTATTTAAACTGGATGTTTCACATATCCATGTCTCGCTTAAAAATTAAAGCACCGACAAGAATAAAAAAAACCTGGTATTCAAGCACAATGTTCTTATTTTAAATTTTGGTGATACTTCGTGTGTTTGGTTGACTGATATAGTAGACGCAGGTTCTTAAATAAAGAAAGAATGGGGGAAAAACGATATTTTATTAAAAAAAAAAGTAAAATTTTTTGATATATTAAAGTCCGTTTGTTTTAAAGAAAATTAATGATTATATTATAAGCAAGTTCACGGAAATAAACCGTACTAACTAACGTTTTGGATATTAATGGATACAACCGAATAATGTGATGAATATAACAACAGTAATCATTTAAATTTATTTATTTTCGGTTATGTTATCAACGACGTTATAAAACACAGACACGAATTTAAAATATTATTCGTAATTATTTAAAAATATAATCATATTTTACAAACAATCATATTTTATTTTTTTTCTTCCGTTTCGCAACGAACGTGAATATGATACTTCATTAAACACTCGAAAAAATAACAAATTCGTGACGATATTTTTAAATTAGATTTTTTTTCCTTTCTTTCTTTCCAGGGCTTGTCTTGAAAAATTGGATTTTTCCCTTTAAATGGTCATACTTTTCCTACTCCGTTGAACGTTACGTGTTTGAATTTTAAATGGCTTTGAATAAAAAAATATATAGACATAAAACTTTTTTCTTTTTACATCCACCATAAAATCTATATAAATGATCCGGTAACTCAAAAGAAATAGACTCTAAATTGCTAGATCATTAATAATTGTGTACGTTAAATGAATATACTGCACGCGCACATATACACAAGCAGTATTTTAAAAAATAACATTGTACCTGTTCCGGAAATAATAATTTATAATATTTTATTAGTTACACTATTTTTGTTTTTCTCACAGCTATAAGTAGAATAATAATTATTAATAATATTAAAACGATAATAATATTTTGTACGATTGACCGAACGCTTAAGCGACACGTTTTCATCTAACGGAACAATACAGGAAACTAATATATTATATATTTCCAAGGAAAACGATTCATTACTATTTATTCTTCTATTTTTGTTTTCTCTTTAAATTCGGAGTGTATTTTATTTTACATTTGAATATAATAAATACCAAGTACTATACACGTACAAGGCAAAACGCGATGTTTGGACGTTTTTCGAATACAGACAAAATTTTATCACTTCGTCGCAATAAAAAAGTTTAAGTTGATTCGCATTTAGATATTTTAATACTTACCTGTTAGACAATATTTTTCACCATTGAATAATCTTAACGAATTATGCTTACCTGAAATACAAAAAAAAACAGTCACAGTCAATTATAATGAGCAACAAATTATTCGTTTTTAGTCTAAATGAATTAACCGCAACTTACGGTCATTCACAAATAGTCAACGAATATCTTTAAGTAGTATTTATTAATTAAATACGAAAATATTATCCGAAAATGGCTTAACTAAATAATATAAATGTTCACGATTCTACACATAAGATGGATAGTAGAACAGTATTATATTTTAAAATCACTTATGATATTTGGACTGACAACCAAAAACAGACGGAGAAAATATTTAGAAAATTCGAAAATAAAGTAAAAAGAAAACAATGTTCACGAAGAAATGGAGAACAGGTAAAGAAGTTCAACAAAGCTGCGTACTCCATAGTAGAACTAGCACCATTGACGAGCTTAGGTGAGGGAAAAATAGTAAATAAATGTTAGATTACATAATGAGGAGAAAACAAAGCAGTTTGAATTTCAATTATATGAAAACCACGTGCAATAAGACCTAGAAAACTATGAGTTGACAGGGTGAAACGATATTCAAAAATTATGGTAGACAGTAGTACGCTTAATAGAGACATGTTATAAAGTGTAGTTAAAAACTCTTAGGTATTATGCCCCTGATATCAATAGGATAGCAAGAAATGTGCACTAAAATCGTATTAAATATGCATGCAATTATTCCGTAAAATTAACAAAGTATACTTGAAAGAAAAAAAAATAAAAAAAATAAATTCTAATTTTGATTTTTATATTCTAAGCGTAGCGAGGGAGCTATTGGTTTTACTTAGATGTTTATTTCTTTTTCTTTCTTCTAGTTAGTGGACACATATTTTCCTAGTAAATTTACTGCGATTGTTACATGTTAGCACATTTCTGAAAAAAACAGAGGTCGTTTTTTGATTTTTGACGCCATTTTTCAAATAAAACCACTTAAGTGGGAAAAAAGTAGGAAAACGTACAAGATTTCATTATTTTATAAAAACGCGAACGACGGTTTCTACCAGAAAAAATGATTGAATCGAAAAATTACAAGATCCCCTTTTTGTTGCCTTTTTAATTTAATTTCTTAAAAAACCAATTAAAATATGCAAATGCATATAAATGTTGTCCCTAAATATAACACAATATAATTAGGCAAAGTTCGAATAACCGTTATCAATCTTAATGTTTTTGGATTTGGCAATGAAACATTTTTTTTAAATTGTTCAATCCCGTTTTTAATACTTTTTTTTTCTTAACTATGATTAATGACAGACGAGTGACAACTATAATACTAGTTTACGAATTGATTAGTAAAAAAAAAAAAAAAAAATGAAAATTATTATTGGTTACAGCTTTATAGGTATCGAAACATTCTCTCGTCTTGACATCTCTTCTTTTGCAATAGTGCTGATAATTAATACACTACGTGGTAATAATTTTTCTCATAAAACGATTGAACAAAAAAACGATAGTGGTTTTTTTTTTTATGATAATTAAAAAAAACATTTTTAATTAAGGATAATAGTGTTTACGCGTTTTTAAATATTCCTGAACGTTCGTGGACTTTGACATATTTTGCATTCACAATAGTTATAATGTAGTAATAATAATTAAACAATTCAATTGTTATTAACTTAAAGTACAAATATAAACAAATATAATGGTATTCCGTATAAACGTGGCATTATGTTAATTAAATTATTTATTCGATTACTATACAGTGATTTTACTATAAATATAGTATATAAATCAAATATCTCTTTTAGTTTTTGTCATTTTCGATTTATAATATTTAAAACAGGTATTTATTGAATGTTAGAAATACACTATTGCAATAATAATTTAATTAATATCTGTTAAAATCAAACGCTTTAGAGACCCAGAATAACATTATTGTTTTTTTTTTTTTTTAGATTACGATCTCATTTGAATTTTTAAAATAATAATTGTCGTACTACACTAAGTCGTGTTATATTTCATTAAGTTGCTGTCGTAGTTTCAACCGTAAACGTGAAAACGATGCTAAAATATTCAATAAAATATCGACGTAAATGTCAATAATCCCGATGGCTTCAGATATCGTCTAATATATAACAGAAATTATTCCACTATCTAGTGCATTGGAAATTTCACTTTTCTCTCGCGTTTATTTACAATCATTTTTTCGTAATTTTCTAGAAAACTACTAGAGAATTCTGAAAAAAACTATCTGCGTTTATTTTACAACATGTATTTTTATATAAAACTTTTGTAGTAACTCCTTACATTAAAAAAAAAAAAAAAAAATACATCATTCTAAAACCTATCGGTTTTAGAGATCCGTTCAAAATCTAATAAAATAATATAATACTACGTAGGATCTAATATTGAGCTTACTCGATTATAGAACGACATTTGTGAAACACTTGTTTAGGAAAAATATTATGTTGTATTTGTTCTTGATTAGTTTCAATCTTGTTCATATTAAACCCAAGGGGCTTGAAGGAACAATATTTCTAAAAATATAAAATAAATTCAATATAGTAATTTTACTTTGTCAGATTATTTTGCGCAATGCGGTTGCATATGACGGGTGCTATATTGTTTGTCCAAATTGCTTTAGTACAGAGTGAACAATTTGTAATATATAATATAATTATTATAATTTATACTGGACAAAACGAACAAATGCCTACGATAAAAAAAACCGTATGAATCAGTAATATATCACGAAAAAGTGCTAATTTAATAAACGCTAAGGAAATTATATTTGTTTTTGTAGAGAGGTTTTTTAAAATATTTTTATGAAATTCCCATTTATATTTTAAACTATTTTATAACTTTTAAAATTGTTTCACGGAGTTTGGACTATAAGTCATCCCAATGACACCATGTTGAAATTTAAATGAATTCAACATTTAAGATTCTATTGGTATAATCAAATGGTTATTAATGCCTTACCAAGTCTGGGTATTAATATTAATAATACAATATTGATGAGCGAATAATATGATTACACGGTAATCACCAGTAGTGTGTACATATTTAGCGTTTGTATAAATATTGAAGTCGAAATTAGAAAATGTAAATATTGGATACGTTAAAATTAATTAAAACCGTATGTGATGAGTGGTTTTGCAACAGATAGACAGATATAGGTATACACTATACAGGCA